GACTCTGATGTTTTGGCGCTTCACTTCCGCAACGGCATTTGTAAGCTTCCGTTTCTTGACCGGAGGCTCACCGATAAAGCTCCAATGGTCATCATCACTGTCTGCAGAATCAGAGGAGGCCATTTGCTTCCGATGTGCTATCAATGGGTCTGTTCTATACTGAGTTTCTGCAGTCTTTCACTGCAGCTGACCACTTGAGACTTTTCTGCGGCACACATCAAACAAAGCTACGAGGCTAGGTGTATGCATATATATATATAGAGCATCTACGGACAGTATGCATTAACTTCCACATGCACCGGCCCCGCCTCTGCTGGAATGTCCACTTGATTGCCTTCCAGCGGTTCCTGCCGGCAGGTGTTATTGAACATCTATGTCTACAAATACCTCTATATATATATATATGCATAAAGAAGGAATTACTATGTATTGCATATATACATACATACGTGTCTGCTGCCACGACCACCTGGCCAATCATGAAAAGGAAACCATTTAGGCACTTGAAATGCCTGCCTCCACTGCTGCATCTTTCAAAGGCTGAACAGGCTCCTGCCGGAAGCGGAACAGTAAGCTAGGCTGGATCCAATTCCTTTGTTTCCTGTCCAGGTGCAGTTATCCAAAGGAAAAAAGCACCCTCTTAGAATGCCTGCGATTGACGTGGGTTCACGGTTTCCAGGAGATGTGGAAACCTGTCAAACCTTACTATATATATACATTTACATATAAAAATAGAGGGAGATTTGATATGAGCTGGAGGACACACATACGCATTAGCTTCCACATGCCCCAGTTCCGCCTCCGCTGGAATTTCCACTTGCTTGTCTTCCAGCGCTTCCTGCCAGCAGGTGTTATTATAGATATTATGGACATACAAAAAACAAATGACCATGTATTCTGATCCTCAAAATACATTTTAGGCACTTGAAATGCGTGCCTCCACTGCTGCATCTTTCAAAGGCTGAACAGGCTCCTGCCGGAAGCGGAACAGTACGCTGGGCTGGATCCAATTCCTTTGTTTCCTGTCCAGGTGCAGTTATCCTAAGGAAAAAGCACCCTCTTAGAATGCCTGCCCTTGA